GCTGCGGGGGGTCCGACCCACCCGAGGATAAATCGCTTTTCAGCCTGCGCCGTCCTGTGCTGCCCTGAGCGGGGCAGGGCTGGCTCTGCTGCTGTGTTCTGGAAAGACTTTATATTAGGTAAAAATAAAATCTAGTTTTAAAAATACTGAGGACTGATCCCTGGCTGTTGAACTCTCACCCTCTTGAGGATCGTCTTTGCGTTTGAGCAAAGACGGGTTTTTTTGTATTTGTCCTCATCTTCTTAAATCTGGTGCCTAAATCCTGGCTCCAGGGGAAGCTATCCATGCCAGGGCAGGAAGAGCAGAGCCGAATCTCATGGTTTGTCGCAGCAGGATCTTGGGGCAGCATTTTTGGCGTGTCCCTGGCTCTGCAGTGTCATTTCCCATCAGCAGAGGGAGGCAGGTCCCTGGCTGGCGGCCGTCCTGCTGGGAAGCAAGCCTGGTCTATTCCCATCCAAGAGGGCATGTGTAAGTGGGAGAACAAGGTCTGGACAAGAAGGAACGGGAAATGAAGAAGCCCCTTGGTTGATAAAAGAATTAAGAAAAAAAAAAAAGGGATGAGGCTGTAGGAAGGGGTTTAATTTCCAAACTCGGCGTTGCAGAGTGGGATAGGCACGTACATTTCTAGTTCCCGTCAGTGGGCAGCTCTGGCCATGCACCGTAAGGGTAACTGCATCGCTGGAAAGTGATTGATTCGGGGTTCCCTATGAAATTACTGCACGGGATACTCCTGGGAATGTGGGTTTGCTTGTGGTTTTGAGCTTGCACAGGCGTTCGCAGGAGGGATGGGGCTGCCAGGGCAGAGATGGGGGTCGGGTGCGTGGGGCTGGGGTTTAGGGGATGTTTTTAAGATCTTGTGCAATTGGGGATTCGTGGTTTCACCAGTCCAGCCGCTCACAGACCAGGGGCGTTGCTTTTCCAGAATAAACACCAGGTTGCTTTTATTCACTTGCTGGTTTTCTACACTGGGGGTCGTGCATTGCCCTACAGCCGGGGCAAGGTGAGCTATGGGCTCTCAGGTGCGATACCTGGCGAGCAGACAAACCAACCCAGCGTTTCCCTTCCTTGCTGCTTTCTTTTTGTTGTTGAAATCTTGAATTTTTGAAGACAGACCTTGCAGAAATCCTCAGCGACACCTGAACCAGGGAGAGCCCTTGCATGATGGAGGGAGTCGATGGAAGCCCTGGGCTCGCTCGTCTGCAGACGGCACCACGTTGCACGGAGCCACGATCGCATCCTGGGCTGGATTTCATGTGGAATTAGTCGGTAGATGAAAACTTTCCACAGAGGCAAGACCTTTTCTTGGGAAGCCGGGCATTGGCAGGGAGCAGATCTTTCTTATTTTCGTGGGTTTATTGGGATCTTTTTTCTTTGCATTTGGCTAAGCCAGGTTCGTTATTTGTTCAGTGACGCAAGGTTCCCCAAGCTGAGAAACAGGCCAGGCCATTTCCTTTTAAAATCAGAGCAAATAAATAACTTAATTGTGCAAATAGCACAGGGAAGCTGGTGTGGCGGCTGCAGCCCTGTCCTGAGCCCACAGGAAGCATCCACCGGGGAGCGCGGCCGCTTTCCTGGCCGGGGAAGCACAGCCTGACCTAAACCTCACATCACAACCCTTTGGCGGGGCTTATTTTCAAGCGAATAGGTACAATTTTAGCTGATCCCGAGTATTTTTTTTTCGTTGCGAAATCCCGTCTGCCGAACAGAGCGCCGCTGTGCTGTGACATTTATTAAAAAACAAACAGCGAGAGAAACGACGTGTTTACTTTCCAAACTAGGCGTTTATTTTATAACAGTGTCGTAGCTCAATATGGATATTTGGGTTTTGGGGTTTTTTTTCCAACTGGCTGAGTTTCGTGAACTTTAAGTAAACAGGAGCGGGTTAGTCAACCAGCTACTTAATTGGCTGGCAGTGTTTTTATTAAGGGAATTAAAAGCACTGGTTAGAGGTGAGTGAGTTAGACACACACGGCTAGAAACAGCTCGATCCCAGAGCAACTCGGATGCCGCCTCCCTTGTCCTAATTACCCTGCAGCCCAAATTGCTTCTGCCAACACCAGGGACTGCAGCGGCGCAAGGGGCAAACACATCAGCCACGAACAGAAGAGACACGTAACCAGCCACAAATCCTCTTTTTCCTATATGTATATATATGTATGTGTCTCATTAAGCGTAGTAAGAGAATAGAAGTTTTATATTATTTACATCCACTTCTAGGAAGGGGTGGGAGGGATGATTTATTTTTATTATTTATTATTATTAATGGACTTTGCTGTGATGCAGCCCACGAAACTCCTCTTCCGCACACGCAGCAGAAACCTGGTGTCGCGCTGCTCTGGCGGGGACGGGATGATGGGGTCCAGCCGTCAGTGGCACGATTTCACCACCATGTTGCGGTGCTTCTTGAGGATGACGTTGTTGTTGCTGTCGTAGTAGAGGACGGAGGTGGCACTGAGCTTCGTGGGGGCACAGCACGCCTTGGGCACAGCTTCGGGCTTCATCAGGTGGACCTGGGGGGATGGATGGAGCCCGTGAGCGCCGGCCAACGCGGCTCCAGGCAGCAGAAAAAGCATCAACCCAGCTCTTTAACTGCAAAAAGCCTGGGTGAATGGGGAGATTATTTCCAGCTTTTTGCAAAAATATTGATTCTAAACTCTGGGCAGCCCTTGCTGCAGTTTATATTGGATCGGAGCTTGTGGCACTGCGTGGGCCAGGCAGCCCCTTCATTAATTTGGGATTTCTGGGCCCTTTTCTCACTGTAAATAGGCAAATGGCTTAAAAAAAAAACCCAGGGCAGCGCGAATCTCACTGCTGTGTGGGTGGGGGTGCTGGGTGCTGTCGCAACGGAGATTCTCCTTCAGGGCTCAGTGCCGCCCCGAATTTAACTTATTGCACTGAAGTCTTGAGTACACAACACCTTTCTGAACATAACTCTGCTTCGGCTCCTTCATCCCCTGCTCCGGACATACGTTATCCCAGTACTTCGCCGTACAGCGGAGGCTGGGAGGTTCGCAGGCTGCCAGATGCACGCAGCCCTTGGTGGCTTTACCCGACATGTGCGATTAATTTATTGCAGGGGCAGCCGAGCTCTCCTAGTTCGGAAGTCCGGTGTTTTTGCTGTCAAACCCTGCTATTTGCAGCACCGGCCGGGGCTGGCATGGCTCCCCGGCCGCGTTTGCTCCGGCGTTTCCCAGAAGGACTGGATCCAGGCGCCAGGTGATTCACATCCTGCCCAAACGGCTCCGTTTCGGGAAGAGCTTTGGGTTTAGGGGTGTTGGGTGGGTGTAGGGGAGGAGGGGACCACTCCCCACCACGGCCAGGATTGTGCCCAGCCCTGGACGGGGCCTCTGGCAGCTTTGTCAATGCAAAAATTAAACCCCGCCAGGCAACACCTTCAAAGGCTCGGCCAAGGGCTCGGCGCTCCCTGTAATTAACCGCGAATACCGGAGCCGGTGTGACTCTGCCATTGGGAAATCAAACACTCACACGGCAGGAAATTCCAGAAATTAAAGCACTGGCTGGGATGCGGGGTGGCTTTGGGAAAAACGGGGCATTA